CCGTGTTTCACATATGTCCTTCCTTCGGGTAGTGCGCATTGCCCTCCTTGTGTATACAAATACCCGTCCCCTCCTTAATGGTCATTTTTGACCCAAGGAGGAAGAAAAGAGTTGTATGTACATACCATATTGTTATATGCCAAACCTTCCATTTCTCTAAAACTATGGCTGTCTACCGAAGTAGAAGGTCCACTCACCAAATGCCATTTCTTGCTGGAGCAGCAGCTGCCGTGGTCACAGTCTGAGCACCTGTGCGAAAGGGGCGTCTTGTGCCTGAGATCAAGGTTTGGGACACCATGAGATCATCTCCTTGCTGGGAAGTAATTATCATTTCATTTCTAAGTACAGTGACAATGCTTGCATGGGGATTTGGGATGATCTGAGAAAAACAGGTCTGAAGTGTTCAAATCACTGAAAGTTATTAGTAGCTATTAGCTGTGATCAACTGAGAGAACAAAGAGCTAGAGACAGAGACAGGAAAAGACAGAGATAGAGACAGAGAGAGAGAGAAAGACACAGATGGAGAGGAGGGTGCCGGGAGGAGAGGAAGTTCGAGAGAGAAACAAGCATCTGAGATGCCTGGAGCAAACCAGGTGGAAATGCAACATCAGACAAGGAAGCTGAGGTCTGCGAAGTGAGACAAGGAAGCTGAGAATGAGGCTGGTTGTGTTTCTTGCCAGCCTTAAAGCTTTGCCTCCTAAATATTATCATCGTGGAATTCTGAGAGCTTTGCACAAAAGGCAGCCTGGAAGGGAGAAGCATCACATAGAGATCAATTGCTCCAGTGTTAGAAATGAAGTTGGAGGAAACGGAGAAACCTTTACTCACTGTTTCCATGGGCGCAGGTTAAGTGTCTAAGGTGTGCCCCATATGGTTCTTCACGTGTGAAATGTGTCATAGAAAAATCAAGGAAGATTTCCAAAGAACCTACTTGTATTGAGTCAATGAGTGCGATGCGCACCTCCGGGGGAATGGACACACTTGAAGCTCGGACTTGGGGGGGAGGGAGGGTAAGGGCATCATACGTAACCTAATCATCTGTACCCCCATAACATGCTGAAATAAAAAAAA